GCGGCCAACGACACCCCTGCGCGCCTCCCGCGGGGCCGCCGCGGTTGGACCCGGCAGCCGGCGCTTCTCGGACGAGCCGCGGAGCAGGAGGGCGACGGTGGTTCACGCTAGACCAGCGAGCTCAGCCCGCCTCCGTCCTGGGCGCAGAACCACGTCCCCTCGCCTCACACCCACAAGCTCCGACCCGGTCCTCTCAAGTACAGGCTGCGCCTTAGGAGCTTCTGCGTTTTCCTTTTGTGCACTCTAAAGCACTTGTTCCGTTGCTAAGCTACGCTCCCATCCCGGGTGTCAGGACTTCAAAGTTGAAGTGATTCTAAGACAGCCCAGCGGAGGGGACAGCGCCAGACGACCCCCAGATCCCCGGGGGCAAGATGCCGCCAGCTCCTAGTGCTGAGGTCCCTGCTGCCCAGCGCCACACTTGAGCAGCAGGCATTGTCTTTAGGCTTCGGCGGAATTTTAAGGATGTAACAGTCATGAAGATTCTCTAGCCACTAAAGTAGCAGTTTGTCATAGCAACAGAGAAGGAGTAAGACTTTAAACTCACAAGAGGAAAGAACAGCCCTTCACGGACGAAAGCTTCTACCATGAACGTTTATTTTTGTTAAAGCAGATTATAAATTCTCATCAGTACAAATATATATATATAACTTACATTTGATTGTAAGGCCAACGTTCAAAAGTAAAAATGAGACGGGGTCTCACGTCACCCGAGGTCGACGGGACAGGCTCACCGAGGGGGCGGCGGGCGGGGCGCACAAAGCTGACAACCGGACCCTCGTCCCCACAGACTGTGGGACAAAGTTTAAAGGACAAGAGCCAGTTACAGAGCGACACGGTAACCCGGGTTCCCTTCTGTGCAGATTCACTGTCATCTTAGTGTTAAAGGGTTAAAAGGAAATTCCAATGATACATAAACGATAATACATAGTCTCTACAGAGCACAGATTGATTCCAGTACAGTGGCATTAGAATTTCATCAAAGGTTTAAAACCAGGACAATACTGCTTTCATTTTTTAATTTAAAACTACAACCTAGTGACGGTCAGAAGCATGATTGTTGGTGCAACGCGCTACTCACGACGACAGCAGACAAGCTCGGGACCGCGCCTGCAACGCCCACCCCTCTCCACTCAGTAGGCATCGGGGATCAATCTTACGTACAGTTTCTTACAAATAACCCCTTTTGGCAAGATTACTTACAACTTTTTAATATTGAGAACTATTTAAAATATTCTAGATGCATAAAAATAAAGATTTTGGCTTTTGATATATATATTTATTCTGTTACTCAAAATGGAAGCTCGCCTTTCACACCCCGGAAATAGCCCGACTGGGCAGCTGCTTCTGCGCCTGCCAGGCACGCCGCCTGCCCCTCCTCCCAGCCCGAGCTCAAAGCGCTCTCTCCGGCGGGTGTGAAGGCCGGTACCGGGCGGAGCCAGGCGAACGGCCTCAAAAATAAAGGGAGTTTTGCTTCCGGGTGTGTTTTATATTCCAGTAAATGTGCTTTGAATAGATTCCTGTTCAGATACTTCTGCCTCGCTGTGGCCAGAGATTTGCGTGAGGGCGAGGGAGGAAGGGGAAGGTGGGCAAGGCGGCCTGACTCCGGAGCCTAGCTGTGAGACGCTGTCGGCCAGCAGCGGCGTGCCCCGCAGCCTTCTCCAGCCAGCCCTTCCTGCACGCTGTGCCTGGACCTGTTCCTTGGGACCTTGGGGATTAGTGAAAAGTGTACTGAGCGGGAAGACAGGCCCCCTTTGACCTCCACCCCCTGCCTAAGCACAGACAAGACACACAGGCTATAGAGATTGCTTAAAGTTCGATTTCAAACGTCTTCTGTAAGTCCCTGGAGAAAGGGTTGGTAGGGGAGGGGTTAGTGCGCTGCTTGGCCTTACTTTCTAATGCAGCCCACTGGGCTTCGAAAGGATCCACCGGGCCGGCGCCCGCGGGAAGCTCGGCGTGCTTGTCTCCTGAGGCCACCCTGCCGTCGGCCACACCGTTGAACGCTGCAGAACCGTTGAGGTGCTGGGCAGGAGGCTTAAAGAAGGGACTGGCAGTAGCACTGCTTGTGTCGTACTGAGGGAACGTCTGCTGCTTGACCAGGCTGGGTGACTGCTGGGGGTGAGAGACCTGAGAATGGCCTGCAGTGCCAAACACGTTGGCTACCATCTGGGAGGGGGTGATGCCCACCACAGGCACGCTGGGGGCTGCGTAGGGCATCCCGTTGGCCACAGGGTAGGACTGGGCAGGGACGAAGGCAGGCTGCAGGGGCGGGACCACACCCACTGGCACAGGCTGCGAGGGGAGGAACGCACTCCCTTGGAAAAGCGGCGCTGGCTGGGAGACGGCCGCAGGGGGAGGCGGCTGCAGGGCTGGCTGCAGCGGGGCAGCGGGGGCCGGCGGCTGCTGGGCCCGGACGCTCTTGGACACTTCTTCTAGCCAGCGGTCAGCCTCCGAGGGAGTGCGTCTGTGGCCAGCCTGGAGCTCCGGAGAGGGTGGGCCCCGCTCAGTGCCTGGAACCAGCAAGACGAGAGAGGAGTCAGGGCCTTCTCCCCGGCCTTCGTTCTCTGCGTGACCCCAACAAGGACCTCCCCTCGGAACAAGGAGGAAGCCCTGAAGGGTGTTCTGCGGCTTTGGTAGGTGAGAGCAAAGCATCGTACGACCAGCTGAGACTTTGTGAGGACCACGAGACCCCGTCAGACCACGCTGCTGTCTCAGCCATGCTGAGGAGCATTGACCAAGGCAGCTGGCTGGTGTGAGAAGCGCCTCCTTGTTCCCACAGCTCATCCACGGGATAGGAACGAGCCTGCGCATGCTCCACAGTGCTCAAGGGTTCATCTTCAGTCTAACACGGCAAAAACAGCACAGCCAGTGACATGGCCGTACCTTGCTGGCCCCTTGTCTGGTTTCTAGACATATGCTATGCCTTTCTGATGAACCGTTATTACTATTTCAGAATGCTTTTGTCTTACAGAAAAACTAGTAAGTACAGAAAAGCAGCGTCTTGGAGGCAAGGTTCCCTCTTCCTACAGGCGTGAGTTCCCACTGCCGAACTCAGGGATGGGTTCCCTGCGGGCCGGGCTCGGGAATCTCTCATAAAAAGCTCCATGGGTGGCTCATTTCTATAGTTCTAAGAACTACCAATCTAATATTTGTTGTTCCCCTCCTTGACCATCCCGGCTAGGAGGGAACGTATTTTTCCTAAGAAGGATTCTTCTCTAGTTCCCACTTGGGAGGCTGGCTGTTTTTAGAACCAGGGTCACTTATCTGATCCCAGAGTCCCTCACCATCTGTGGCCACCTTACCCGGATGTGCGGCTGCAATTTCCTTGTTAGCAGCATCAGGGGCATGGGCCCAAGGGTTGGTTTCACGCACAGGCATTGCTACAGGTGCTAGAGCAGTGTGGGCTGGCTTAGCAGCAAGCACATGGAAGGCTGAGTCAGTGCCATTAGCTACAATGGGAGCAGACAACATCAGTGGAGTTAATTCATGCAGGGTGCACGAGCACCTCACGGAGCTGGGTTGGTCAGGCCACGTGCAACGCTGGAGCAAGTGGTGAGACAGAGAAGCCGACGGTGGACAACCATGCTACCTGGCAACGGGCACACAGAACTTGGGCAAAGAAGGAATCAGAGGTGATAACTGCAGTGATTGTAGTGATGAAGTCAAATGAGTGTTTTGGGAAAATTCGTGCATAGGAAGACGGGAAATGAAGCCTACAAAAATTTTCAAATTAAGTTGAACAGAACTGCTTTTATAAGCAGCAAAACAATCTAACTATTCCCGATATAACTTAGCCTCTGGCTTAATGAAGTCGATAAGGCATTTCTTTCTTCTATACTCTTCCAAAAGTCAAATTAAGCAATAATAATAATGGCTAAAAATGTATTTCCTTATGTGCTGGGCACCAGGCTGACAGGATTTTATGTGCATCACCTCGTTTAATTCCTCAAAAACCCTGTAAGGCTGGCATAGTAAGGCCACTGGGAGATGTTCTCAGACATTCTGCAGACAACTGAAATCTTATATAGAATCAAACCCTGTATAGACTATGTTTTTTCCCATGCACACCTTCAATAGTATAATTTATAAATTAGGCACACTGAAATTAATAATAGTAAAAAATAGAATAAAAATAATATACTACAGTACAAATTATTTAAATGTATGGATTATTTGTTTCCGGAGTTTCCTATTTAACATTTGGAGATGGCAGTGGACTATGAGTAATTGACACCCAGGAAAGTGAAACCATGAATAAGGGCAAACCACTACGTTATGCATTTCCATATAAAAGATGAGAACTCAAACTTGATACATTTTCACTTGCTCAATAAACTTACAATCTTTTTTTGAAATTTTTTTCCACTTGTAACGTTCACAACAACTCACAGTGCCTACTATCCTTCCACATCTCTATTAAATCCTCCTAACCCTGTTCCCTTTACTCCAGAAATCTGTATCGGTCTCTACTGTTTATCCTTCTATCATACTTACTATGGTGCAGACAAGCATCTCCTCCTGCTTCATGCTATAAAAACTCCCCGTTTAGGACTGGGCACCCACGTTTATGGTGCTGGTAACACTAACCCAGGTCCTGTCTAAAAATGATCTGGCTATAGACTGGGATCCCCTTTTAAAGGCAGCAAAAGCACTATGTTCTAGTCCATTTCCTGCACCCAGTGTCCTATAAACAGGCATGGTCAGCAGAACATAACGCATACTACATTCAGAAAGATCTGAGTTTAAATTCTGGCTGTATGATTTGGGCATTTACTTAACCTCTCGGAGCTTTTTTAAAAACTGGTAATGTTACCCCGAAGGGTTATTATGGGATCACACTAGATACTGCATGAGGACTCAACATCAGTGCAGCAAGCACTGTGTTAAGTGCTTAATATAGCGCGCCTATTCCTATTCTCACCAGTGTAACCAACACTTGTCACCCGCGATGACAAAGCTGTTTGGTGACCTGAAAAGCACGCAAAGGCGTGCAGCGGGGAGAAGAGAAGGAGGAGAGAGCAGAAGAGGCAGGCCCGGACTCCGCTGGAGTCCAAGTGCACAGCAGCCTCCTCCAGTAGGAGCGGGTTCTGTCTCCAGGGCACAACTTTCTCTAGCTCTTTTTTAAAGAAGAATCAAGAAAGGGCAAGTACAGGAACTCAAACTAGGAGTCTTCAATTTACATGGTCAACCTGAGTCAATGCCAACTGTTCATTCAACATCTCCGAAAAAATAATTTGCAGTAAGTCTTCAATTGCAAAAGCAAATTTTAGGACATTGTGATAGAAGGAGACCTAGAAAGCCAAAAGGAGTGCCTTTTCTTCATGAACCCCTGAGACAGGACAGGGACTAAGTGCGTCCGGGCTTCCCAGCCTGGGTACTGCGGGTATTTGGGGCCTGGTAATTCTCCACTGTGGATTCTGTCCTGTGCCCGGAAGGACTTGGCAGTACCCCTGGTCTCTATCAAGTTGCCAGCGCAGCACCCCTCCCCCAACTTGCGGAGCCCCAAAATGTCTCCACACCACGGACGCCAAACTTTCCCTGAGGGGGCAGAACTGCACCTGGCTGAGAACCACTGCGTTAAATAAAGCATAAAGCTAGAATCAATCTGGATGACTGCTGCTCCCGGAAAACTGGCTGGACACTCTGACCCTTCACTGTCAAGTGGCAAATGAAGCAGTGCGCTGGGGTTACAGAAACTCCTAAGAAGGGACGAACGACAGCACAGGCATGCAAAATGATGGGTGCCGACGGCTCAGGGAACAGGAAGGGAAACAAAGCGGAAGGGCCTGCTGCACAGGGAGGGGAGTGGCTCCGAGACACCGGCAACGGCTGACCAGCTCTTGGGAAGCGGAGGGTGCTGACTGGCAGCCAGGGCCCGGGGAGCACGAGCACTGCTTTCCAGAGAACGGCACAGCAGGCCTGGGGCACCGACCTGGGAAGGCAGGAGACTGCGGTGCCACCGCCGTCACGGGCTTGGTCATCGGGGCGGAGGAGAAGGGGTCCTCGGCGGGCGTGCTGAAGGCACTGGTGATCTGCGAGCACAGGGAGCTGATGCTTTCTGCTTCTCCTTCCACCTCCGGCACTGCAAGGCAAGCAGGGAAGCGTTCCAGACCGAGACACGGAGCAACCCTGAACCTTGACAGGGGCGCGGGGCACTTTAGCTGAATCTCCTTCTGTGGAAGGAAAAGGCTCAGCTGCCTGGTGGGGCTATGGAAACAGTTGCCAAAAATTTACTGACCACCTCTCACTGGCTTTTCTGACGGAAAAGCATAAAATGTCAGAAATGCGGGTACTGAGATACATCTCTCCTTCCCTGTACATCTCCACATTTCTTTATGTCCTTTTCTCGTGACACTGTTAGGAGTCTGGTGTCCTCTCTCTCTTTGTACCAAGATATCCAACCAGCTGGGTCTCCTCAGAAGACGCTGCAACCTATTTTCCTTTCGACCAGTTCCCACGGCTGTGGTCTGGATTAAGTTCTGGAGCCATTCGGTAATCCAGGAGAACGGGGTAAAGCCCAGGCCACCAGTGGGTGCGAAGCGCTTTTCCCTGTGATAAACTCACAATGTCATCACTCGTCTTTCTGCACAGTCTCTAGTGCCAAGTGTGTTAACCGTGATGAAAAGAAAAAGTGAACCTGTGCACAGGACCCTAGAGACTGTTCTCAGTGCTGCTCCAGGCACCTCGGTAAGGCCGAGGACACTGACTGCGTGTGGGAGCTCGTCTGTGGGGACAGCGTAGCTCTTATTCTCTCGCGTTTCCCCAGAAGAGGAAACGAAGTGCCTGAAACATCTGGGGTTTAGTTTTTAAAGGCACTGAATGCTGAAAAGGCTCTCAGGGATTATCTGCTCCAACTGTTTTTTTTTTTTTTTTTTTGGTTTTTCTCCGGTACCGGGAACCAAACTCACGACCTTGCGCTTGCCAGGCAGGCGCTTTTGCCGCTGAGCTAAATCCCCAGCCCCTTGGTCCAACTGTTCTTTAAGCCTCGTTTCATCTGTCAAAAGAACTTCACTCTCTGTACCTCTGTATCAGCATCAGTGGGAGTGCCAGTGAGACAGGGCATCTCATAATCCACTACAGCAGTACCGTGACACGTTTCAGAGGGAAGTAAAATAGGGCTCAACAAGGTCCCGGCCAGATCTGCCCCTTCACTCCCGGACCCCACGAGGACAGAGGCAGAGGCTGGCTCGGCTCAGCGGAGGCCGCGCCAAGGCCTGCGCGGCAGTTCCCAAAGGCAGGGAACGCACACGAACAAGGCGCTGCCTCTGAGAACAGCCGGTCTAGACTTACACACGAGGCCCACTTAGGGTCTCCTCCCTGTGGAGCCGACCAGCCACAAGAACAGTGAACACTGCTCCGCTGCTTCGGGCACGCCTGCTGCTAGCGCTACTCGACTGTACGTGTTCCTAAACAGACTGGCCGAGAGGTGCGTTTACATCAGGAAAAACCACAAACCCATGGCTCGGACTAGAAATTCCATCCATCTGTTGAAGAGAAATGAGTGACCTGTGTCCCCGTCCTGCGGGGATTCATGTCCCCACAGACTTCTGTTCGCTCGCATGAGAAATGACACAAGATATAACCACCACCAGGCGTCAGAGGGAGGAGCGGCTGGCTCCCGGGCTCCCGGACCAGCACAAGCCAGGGCACCGCTTCTGTGCCAGAGCCTCGGGCGACGAGGCGGGGCGTGCCAGCACGTTACCTGTGTTTTTAATGGGGAAGTCAGTCTTCCTCTGCATCGTGGAAGGCAGCTCGTTGATGCGTAGGGACAGCTGCCGTTTGAAGGGTGACATCTTCTGGCTGAGAGCAGGAAATCCTCGGAAAGAGCCCTGGCGAGCGAGCTGCTCGATGGGCGCGTGGCGGCGTGGAATGGCGTGAGGGTTGTTCATCTCCGAAGAGGCGGTGGTGTCCGCAGCGGGCGAAGCAGGAGAGGACGGGGACAGGGTGGTGTTGCCGGGGGCCACCGGCGCGCCAGCAACTGTCTTATCTGTCTCTGCTCAAGAGAATCAAGAGCAAGAGAGCCTTAGCAATGACCTTGAAATATTCTGAATTTACAGAGCTGAAGACCTCAAAGGACACTTTGTCCTCCTCATCTCCTTCCCAAGGTGTCTTCAGATGTGTTACAAGCCGTACAAGTCACAGAGCATATTTACAAAACTCAAATGGATTCTTTATTCTCACATAGTTATTTATAAATTAAGACTCAACAAGATTTTGAAAACCCAGCTCCAAAGAACTCCTCACGTGAGGCCCTTTAAAGAGCGACGGTTCACGGCTGGCTGTGTGCGGGGGGGGGGGGGGGACCCAGGAGCGCTGCAGGTCCCGGAGAACTCGCTTTTTTTTTGCATGGGGGGGGGGGGGGGGGGGGGGGGGGGTGACTTTGAGGGGGCACAGTCAGAAAGGTCTATGTTTTTCTTAAGTGCCAAAAATCTTTAAATCACATACACTTGTGGCTCACGTGAATACAAGGATGCACAAGGAAAATCTTAAACTGGATTAAACCTAAATAAATGACTGCTTCCGGAGAGTACCAGTTGAGTCCCACTCCTGTGTGAGTTGTGTGTTGTGTGTATGTGTGCATGACACTGACTCAGGGTCTTTGCTTTGAGCAATACCCCCAGCCCTGCCCAAGACAGGATCTTGCTAAGGCACTAAGCTGCCCAAGTTGGGTCTGAACTTGTGATCCTCCTGCCTCAGCCCCCGACGGTGCCAAGACTGTAAGCGTGCGCCACCAAGCCCAGCTTTGAGTGCCACTGCGATTGTGGCAAATCTACCCTGACCTCCCCGATCCTTTGCAGATCTCTGCCAGATGCTGTGCACAACAGTATCCTTTGGTGATATCAAAAATTATGCTTTCAGAGGTGGGGATGTAGCTCGGTGGGACACTAATGCCTGGCATGGCTGAGGGCCTGGGTTTGATCCCTAGCACCACACAATGCAATCTCAGTAAACATTACTACAGCACCCTAAATAATAGCTATTCAGGAAATTTTCTAGTAAAGCTAGCATGACTTGCTCTGAGAGGGGGTCTCACTATGTTGTTGGTCTCTAACCCCTGGGCTCACGTGACTCTCCTGTCTCAGCCTTCCAAGCAGCTGGGATATACAGGCACACGCTACCATGCCTGGTCAGCATTTTATTCTCTCCTATCCTGGCACAAATGTTTACAAGAAACGAGAAGGAAAGAGTGCACTCAGCCGAGTGCAGTGGAGCGCGACTGTCGCCCGGCTACGCAAGAGGCTGAGGCAAAAGCGTCACTAAGCCCAGGAGCTTGTCTAGCCTGGCAGCACAGTTCCGGCCTGACTGCCACGCCCAACACCGTCAGTAATTTCCAGTGAGCACTGTGTATTTTGGGAGGTCTTAAGAATTACAGCTGAGGGCTGAGGATTTAGCTCAGTGGCACAGCGCCTGCCTGGCAAGCGCAACGTCCTGAGTTCAATTCCCGGTACCGGAAAAACAAACAAACAAACAAAAGAACTACAGCTGCTTGGGTCAGTATTAGTGATGAGGTACACAAATAGTTCAGTATAACTAATAGATATTAATAATTTTGTGAATTTTCTATTATGTTCTTAATATCTATTAGTTATACTGAACTATTTATGTATTTCTAGTTGGCTTCAGCCTAGTTATATACAAGAATACAAGCATTTTCCTCAAGTCATATTAGTTTTAAAATGTACAAGCTGGGCGTGGTGGTGCACTCCTATAATCCCAGCACTCAGGAGGTGGAGCTAGGAGGATCGCTGCCAGTTCGAGGCCAGCCTGGGCTACAAAGTGAGCTCAGGGCCAGCCTGAGCTGCATAGCGAGACCCTGTCTCAAAATGACAAAAAATCAAAAAATCTTAACAAACCACTACTGGAAGCAAACATCAAGAGTATTTAAAATAAAATAAATAAAAATGTACCCAACCAGCTGGGCATGGTGGCAGATGCCTATAATTTCAGCACTTAGGAAGCTGAGGCAGAAAGACTGCTGTGAGTTTAAGGCCACCCTGGACTACATAGCAAGACCATGTCTCAATAAACTAAAAAAAAAAAAGGCACCCAACCCAACTTCACAGACTAAATCACTTCAACGTTTGTACAGGTATTTCTGCTACAATGCCACTAACGCAGTCATCTAAAAAGGGCACTCCTGTGAGATTTTCAGCTGCGTTATTAAGGTTTTCACATATTGCTAAGGGATCTCTCTTTTTACGAGGCAGAAGGGGAGATGCTGGAGATAGAAGGCAGAGCCTCTCATCTGCTAAGCTAGTACTCCATGACTGAGCTACACTCACAGGCCCAAGGAGGCTCTCTGATTACGAGAAAACTTGTGTCCCTGACAGCTTTAAAATATTAACCTGTTGGGGAAAACTGCACTACATAAACACACAGTGCAGTAGAACACATTGTACCTTTCTTGGCATCTTGCATTTGTTTCATAATCTCCTCTCTCTCTGCTTGTTCTGTGGCAGTTGTGACACGGAAGGATCCTTCTCTTGTGAAAGTCGTCCGGCTGGCATCAAAAGTAGCAGTCACCCCACACTCCTTCTCCCGCTTCTGCTTACGCTCCAGACAGGCTGCGAAGGCACAGCCAACTGCATGGCTCAGCCTTTCACCCTGCAGAAAGCAAAGGTTTCCAAAGCTGTTCAAGAGTCTCAATACTAACAGTTACATATACTCTTACACCTATTTTGACGTAAGACCAAATATTGCAAACTCTAGCTTAAAACTAAGTTTTAATATCTTACCATGCTCAATTTAGACAAGTAACGTTAGAAAGTACTTAGGAGACTTCTCCTGTGTCACCCGCTACCGTCCTTAGGTAAAGCGATCGCCAGCACCTGTGCCCTGCGCGCAGCCGCAGGGAGGCCCTTGCTGCTGCGGCTCCACTTGTCTCTTCAGCTCTGGCCACCAGCTTAGGACACCCTGCTCAAAGTTCTAAGCCTTTATGCATAAAACTGCAGCTATCCGCAGGCAGAGTTCCAATATTTACCAACATTTACCAGGTATTTCTAAGAAACCATGCAGAGGCAGGGCAAATTTTAGTCATTTAAATACATTCTCAAAGTCTAGGGGAGAAAACAACAACTAACAATTACAACTCCTGGTCTGAAAGACTCAAAGGAAAGCTTAGCTTGCCGTCTCACTCCTCCGAGCGCTTCGCACCCCTGCGCCAAGCAACCTTCCCATTCAAGGCCGCCGTGCTTTTAGACTTTCCTTCGTCTTCTTCCAGCTCTCTCGCACCCCCAGCTCTGCCTCCCAACCACATACAGGTGAAAGAGAAAACATGTTTTCACCTACACTCTCCACTTACAAACTAAACAGCTAAACTGATCTGCTTTGTGTGGGAAGAGCCAGGAGCTTATATAAACACTGCTCTATAGATATATTCACTACCTAATTTAATAAACCCAATGGGCTATTTTTACCAGGGTTATCTGTATTTTAAATCATACTCCTAACTGCAGAACAAAAAAGAGATGGCATAGTAACTGTCAGCACTATTTGTAATGAAAAGAGATATTTGGGACAGGGAGGCTTTCATGGTATTTATTACCTTTCCAAATCAAACCCATGCTGGCAGCTGCTTCTATGCGTATCTGTGAACAAGTCATTTCACTGGATTCGTACACGCCAGTATCGGAATCAGAAGGAAATGTTTAACATGCTTTTTGCCCTAAGACTTTATATGACTAAACCTTTTGACTGCTTAAACACTGTTAGGCTTATTCTGTGAATTCACGTGATGTTTTAATTCCTAGTAGGATAAATATAAAGCTAGTGTTGAGTCCATTTGCATTTTATCAGAGCTCTATTATAAGGAAAGAGCTTTAGGCCAAGAAGTTTTATTATTTCTCCTAGGCTGAGGAAGTTCTTTTTTTTCTATGACTTGGATGTTTTATCATAAATATGGTCCTTAAGAGACTCAATACTTTTTGTTGTTGTTTTTTGAGACAGGGTCTTGTTATATATTTTTCTCTATATTTATTTCACATATCTATCTCAGGCCGGGCTTGGACTTACTATGTAGCCTCGGGTGGCCTCAAACTTGCAATCCTGCTGTCTCAACCTCTCAAGAGTTGGGGTTACAGGCATGTACTACCATGTCTGCTAAGACAACACTTTTACCATCAACAGTCCTGTTAATGATTTTATCTGTTCAAATACAAGTAAACACAAGTTTTAAGTTTTTTTTTTACTTTTCAACTGCAAACAATGACATAATAGCCATAGCTCAGTGAAAAAGGCAGATATTACCTATAAATAATCAATCAATTATGAGATTTTCATTTTCCCTGAAAACCAGTAATCACAGCAACAATAGCAATAACAGGAATGATTTACTGAGCTTTACTGTGTGCCCACGGGGCAACACTGTTCTTTATCTTTTTACGTGGCAGCACTGGGATTGAACCCAGGGCCGTCGCACTGAGCTACTCCCTAGCCCTTGTTTAGTTTTGTTTTGAGTCACGGTCTCACCGTGTAGTTTAAGTTGGCCCTGAGACTATGTAGCCCAGACTGGCTGAAACTCCACAGTGGTCCCCCGTGTCAGCCTCGCAAGTGCTGGGATTACAGATTTACACGACGCCTGGCCCCCAGCTATTTTAAAAAACATTTTGAGACAGGGTCTTGCTCAGTTGCCCAGGATGGTCTCAAACCTGCTATCTTCCTGTCTCAGCCTTCCAGAGTGCTGGGATTATAGGCATTGTACCCTATACCCAGAAATAGATGCAAATTCTTAAACCCCACCCCAGACCTTCTGAATGAAAAATTCTGGGAGTAGGGCCTGGTGATTCTGATACAGTAAAACCACTGGCTTAGAAGATTCAAATAGCCTCTATGGCTACGATTTGACAATAAAATGGTTTTCAATTAATACTGGGGGGGAAAAAAAAACCAAAAAATTTAATACCGGGTAATGCAAGCTCTAGATTTTGTGAGTATGATGATAGCAAAATATACACTTGCTGTGGCTTTCTTACAGTCTGAAATGGGGGAGGTGGCAGAAAGCAGTTCAATTATTGCAACTTATTTTCAAAGCACACCAGCTTTGACTACATTAACTGCAATTTTTGTAAAAGTTACTGGTGAATAGAATCTGTTAAGTGTACTTATAAGCATCTAATTTAATCTTCACAACAGTCATTTTCATCAATAGAAGTGAATACTAAGACTTCGAGACCCCTAACCCACGGCTCTAGTTAGGAGGAACCAGAATCACGAGCGGACCTCAGATCCAACTCACAGTCTCAGACACTGGACATTTCCTTGTAAAAGTCTCATACAGCTGTACAAATACTTTGGTCAATTTCAGAGCATGGCTATACTTCTGTGCCAGGCTCAACTTTGGCCAAAGCTTTACTGAGTGGTAGCTCTCATAGAGGCCTTTTTGTCTGGACTTTTAAAAACCAGAAATTACAGGGCCAGGGCCAGAGCTCAGTGGCACAGCATCTGCCTGGCAAGTGCGAGGTCATGAGTTTGATTCCTGGTACGAAAGAAGAAAAGAAAGAAAAACACCTCAGAAATTACACGCTGCATGTCGTAAGATCATTGTCACCTAACAGACCTGTCTTCCGGTCAGAACTTTGGGTGCCTTTTACACACAAAACTTCTGGCAGGTGACACAGCTCAGAGGTAGAGCACTGGCCTGCCCGGCACGAGGACCTGTGTTTGACCCCCGCAGCACAAAAGGAAAAGGAAATTCTGCCATGCAGCAGTTTCTACCATAGTTCACTCTACTATAATTTAGTATTTCTATCTTTTAATTAATTATAAGTATACTCCAATTCAGTTTTCATTTGTAGTAACCTCTCTACTACTAAATATAGAAGCAGCTTTCAGATGTGTTTCTACCCAGATGTATTAGCAAACAGATACATTTAAAAACCCTGAGAACACTTCTAATAATGAAAAGTTCCAATTAAAGTTTGGCAACAACCGTTACCACAGAAGTTTTCTTTTTCCTCTTAGATTTTTTCTGTTGTGCTGGGGACTGAACCCAGAGCCTCACGCATGCTCCACCACACCCAGCACACCAGGGCAGCTTTACCTTCCTTTAATGACGCTGGACCTCCTCCAATCATTTTACTCTGTGAATTGCAACTCATAGCATGACACCGAGAATTGTAATACTCATGCACCACCAGGAGTGTGAATTACCTCAGTAAAAGGAGCAAAACCTTCAACAAAAGGCACTTTCAGGAGCAGCTTTTACATGATGTACTTGCTGGAAGGGCAGTGGAATCTGTCTGGCTGAGATAACCTGGAGGGAGCTCAGCCGACAACACGCGCTGTTGGACTCACCGTGTCTTTGACAGCCATGAAACAGTGGCAGATCCAGCGCCGAGTGGTGCCGTCACGACATATGTAAGAGAAAGCTCTGTCAAAGTTCCTATCGGGGGCACAGAAAGAAACTTTCTCTATTGTCTGGTCAACTATGAGGTCCTAGGAAATGGGAAACACGAGAGAAGAGAGGACTTGTGAGGTTACTCAGTCTTCTCGGAATATACACAGGATGTTCACGTCATGACACAGACTCTCTAACCGGGTGCAGTGTGGCTAGAGAACGGGTCTTTCGGCACCCAGTAGCCTGAATACTGAGAATCTATTTTAGAAGACAACCATTTACCCAGGTGCCGCCCTCACTTTATCTACATCTTCGAAAATGTATGTTGGTTGATTCTAGTTTCAGATCTTTCATGGTAGATGCCTTGTACAATATGACAATATATGTGATCAATATATTTAATTTGGCTTGTTTACAAAATATAAGCAAAAACACACGATCGTCATGTTTACCTTTGTTACACAAATCTGCACAATAACATACACTGTCCTGCAAACTGTTCTTTTCGACTGATAATATATGCCATCCAGTGAGAAATCATTTTCCGCAGTACTGGAGATTGAACCCAGACTGAACCCACACACTGAGCTGCATCCCCAGCTCCTTTTATTTACTTTAAAAATCTGAGACAAGGCCTCCCTGAGTTGCGGAGGCTGGCCTTGAACTTGCATTTCTCCTGCCTCATCCTTCCTCAGGTATTGTATTTTTCAGGTATATAATTTCCATTTGGTTCTTTTTCAGTTTCTTTTCTGAGATTTTCTAGCTGTTCACTCAATATGAGCACATTTTCCTTTATATCACTCAATATAGTTATAATGCCCACTTTAATAAAAAGTCTTATCTGCTAACTCCAACGTCTAAATTAGGTGTGTCCAAACCGCAGCGGGAGACATGTGGTTCTGGACAGCTGATAATGCGGCCCCACAAGATCAACTTTTTATTACGTGATTTTTAGCAACACTTTTAAATGACTTGATCATGTGCTGCTTGAGTATAGACTCCACAAGTGACCACGGAAAGCTGCATGGGAAAGGAAACAAGGCAGTGCTAGGCTCAACTCCAGCCTGACAAATGTCAAATCAAAACCCACTCACAGAGTTGGGCATGGTGGCACTTGCCTGTAATCCCAGCACTTGGGAGGCTGAGGCAGGAGGATCACTATGAGTTTAAGGCCAGCCTGGACTATATAGTGAGCCTAGACTGTGTCTCAACACAAAACAAAATAAAAAAACACACCCCACATGTATCAGATGTCATGTTCTTCTGTGACTCGGTGAATAAAACAATGGTAACTAGTAACAGTATTTCTACCTACCAGTAATGGTATGTGCCTGTGTCTTGGTTACTTTTCTCTTGTTGCTGGGACAAAATATCTGATGCCCAAAATTAAGGAAGGAAAGGTTTATTTCCCTTATAGTTTGTGGAGGTTTTAGTCCATACTTGGCAGGTTACAAGGCAGAGTGGCACATGGCAGAGGGCAACAGCTCATGGTGGCAGAACACAGCAGAATCAACAAGCACAAAAGCCAGGAAATGGCCACAAGCAGCCTCTTGCTCTCCCTTACATATGCAAACTATCCACCCCAGGGTGGGTGCGGCTCTCACACCCATAATCAATCAAACTCTAAAAGCCTGCCCCATGACTGCATGAGGCTTTGGGGGGACACCCAGACAAAACCATAACAGCCTGTCTGTGAAAACAGGCATTTTTTGTTTTTAAGAAGACATGTCAGTTTTCCTATTTAGTTATTAAATTGGGCTTGTGTTATTTTGTAAAATAATTAAATAGTTTTTTAGCATCTGTGTATGGAAGTACAAAAATGTACCAAATTTTTTTTGCTCATCATCTTGTTATAACTATATATATAATATCACTCATATTAAAAAGTTATTAATTTCAGGGATGTAAAGAATTGAAATCAGACGTTCAACTCAAAGATATATCTGATCATTTGTCTATTATACTTAACTATCGCCCCAGAGAAAAATAGCTTCACAATTATATCTTACTCAAGCCATTGCTTTTTGATAGTCATGTTCCCACTACCTTTCTTACGATATGTAATGTGTACATATGTAATACACATAACAAATATGTACATTTGTGAACTATTTTCAAGGATGTAGCACATTGAAAATAAAATTAGAGGGGCTGGGGATTTAGCTCAGCGGCAAAGCGCCTGCCTGGCAAGCGCAAGGTCGTGAGTTCGGTTCCCGGTACCGGAGAAAAACCAAAACAAAACAAAAAAAAAAGAAAATAAATTAGATCATAAAAACTTCTGACAAGCACCTTGAGAACTAAAAGTTGCAACTACTTCCATAAACCATTTATCTCACAAAGTCGGGCTCAAACACCCCACTAGTTTAGTTGATGTTGCCCTATTTCTTAAATGTTACAATGAAAAACATTGAAGGGAAGTTGGTTATATATATTATTTATATTAGATATTTCACATGCTGCCCAAGATAATTCCTCTTCGCTCAGTGCGGCCCCGGCGGCGCCCGTGCTCTAGACCACCCTGAGGCTGGGTCCCTGCTGTTTTCTGTGAGAAGGAGTCCGCGCTCCTGCTTACTTGTATGCCGAGATTCTGCACTGCATAGCGGACACTGCGCACAGTACATACGGAGTTTCTGAATTCCACTTTTTACTTTAACAGGTAATTTGATCATGTGCTCAGACGGATAACTTCCTTTGGCCGGCAGTTTGAGTCTCAGCGTTTACACTGCTAGCTCGGCGAGCCAGAGCCTGCCACGTGCCTGTGTGTTGCAGGGGTCAGAGGCTCGCTGGGATTATGCACCCTCTTTGGCTCTCTCAGTCAGGATCTCTCTTTCACTTCCTAGTGGCTGTTGTTGCCTCAAACTCTGTCTTCTGGTGCTTTAAGCCAGAAAGACTAAGAATTCTCTGTTGGCCTCGTGGCTACTCTGTGTGGTACAGAGGAGGACTGTTCTCAGGGCAGAAGCTGGAAATGGGAAGTCACTCGGGCTCTTTCCTTCTAAGTGTCTTCTAAGTGTCAGACTTCCCTCCACAATTTACCTGTTGGTGGTATTCTCTAGTGCCGTCAAATAATTGGTTTGTTTTGTTCAGAATTTATAGTTGTTTTCAGGAAAATCAGGCCAATATGAACTTTATTTAACCATTGCTATAAGTGAAACATAGTGAAGATACTTTCTAAAAATTGTTTTTCTTCTTAGTAATACACATTTCATTTTCTATTCAGAACTAAATTAATTTATCCCCTTTTCTAAGAAACTACCCAAGAGTTACCCACCATACTCTTGAACAGGGACACAATTAGAACCAAGGTACACATGAGTGGGGAGATGGGACGGAGTTTCTTGCTTAAAGGTTAGGGACCTCAAAATTTGAGGTCCTCAAATTTTGAGGTCCCTAACCTTGGCAAATTTGTGCAGATCAAGGCATGGTTGTATCACAAACACTGGTCCTAACATTATATGACTCACTGCTTATAGGTAAACACAAAGATGAGACGACGGTGACAATCCACCAATTACAATTCCCTCACTGTGGAAAGAACTGAATTGACAAATAGAAGTAGCCACCAGGGGGCAACAGCACTTCCCACTACAGTACAGTAGCAAGCCAAATACACAGCACTTAAATACACATCATCCAAAGAATACTGAAAACGGTACAAACTCTTAAAAATAAGCTAATAAATTACAGTTTCCAAAAGCAATGAACCATTACTTCTCTCGACCTTAAAAAGTGAAAAACAAAAATGGTAAAAGACTAGGTAGCTATATATATATATA